CGGGGAGAAGGGGCTTCCAGCTTGTGTGTGCTGCCCCTTCCTCGGGCCAGCTCTTCCCCCAGGGTGTTCCATCGCTCCTCGGCCTTCAGACCTGGCACAGCAGTTAGAGGGCGGTGCAGAGGGATCTCTCAGCACACAGCACAGCGGGCAGCTTCGAAGCCTGCGAGGGAGGGAGCGGGAGGCCGCAGGGGAGCATGTGAGAGGGGAGCCCATCCGGTCCTCACCCAGCGCCCCAGCTCTGAGCTGGGCGTCCTCAACTCACAAAAGGCCCCAATGTTGATCTCCACTTCATTATGCTTTTCCTGCCTGCGTTTTTGGCGTTGCAGCCAAGAAACCACTGTGTGATCCAAGGTCGTGTAGATTTATGCCAGGATTTTCTTCTAAGGGTTTTATAGTTTTCTCTCTGACCTCACAGGGCTTTTATATGCAAAGAAATGGCACCTGAAACCCGCCTTATGCAGTGAGTCCCGGGCAAGGGGCAGTTGCTGTCATTTTGGAATGTTATCAATCGTGATTATTTTGATTACCCTCTTCACCATAATTTACTATTCCCTGGTGTTTCCCATCTGGGTAGCTGCTGCTTGCTCCTTCCTGAAAGATGGTGTTGGGGTTTAAATTCATTTTTGGCGCAACTGGGGGTCTGCCAGGCTGTAAAAAGGCAGGACCTGGTTACTCTCCTGTCCCCCCAGTTTCCCCCAAAACTTTTTGTTATGAAAAAGTTAAACATGCTTGAGAATGCTGCAGTGCCCTTCCGCGGCCCCACCAGCAACTTCACCAAGCAGCTCACAACTCCTCTCATTTCACCCAGGCCTCAGCTGTTCACCCCTCTGCACCTGGTTATAGTGAAGCAAACCCTGGACATACTTATCTATAAATCACCACTTTACAAAGGGACCTGCGGTGGCTGGGGGGTGACTAGGGGCCTCATTACCTCTTGAGAGTCCAGGGTGGGTGCTATGAGAGGGCGCCTCCCCTGCTTCCCTGCAGGAGCAGGCCGGTGGATGGTCTTGGGCACAGGGGCTCTGTCAGGGCCTGTGCCATCCACGGGGCACACCCTGGAGCCTGGGCTGCCGGGGCCTGTGTCCTGCTTGGGCCGGGCAGGATGAGCTTGGAGACCTCGGCCAGGTTTGGCCTGAGAGTCCGTGTGCTGTGGCTCCAAGATTTTTGTTTGCTTTTTATGTTTTTCAGCTCTTTTCATGTTCCTCATTTCCTTGTTGCCCACCGAGCCCCCCAAGGTAGATTTTATTCAGAATGTTCGTTTTGCGCACGAGGGAGCAGGACATGGACTGGCAGAGCTCGGATTTGAACTCGAGATCTCTGCCTGCCTTTTCTGTCTGTTTCACTCCCTGTGCATGTCCTGTCCGTAAGTGGACCTGCAGAGGAAACGTATCTCTGGTGTTCATCTCGGCCCCTCATTTGGCTCAGATGCTCAGTGGGGAAACCTCACCCCCAGCCCCACAGAGGGCCCAGGGCCTGTCTTGACATCATCCTCCCCTGGGGCCGGCGGCCATCTGGCCAGGCTCTGCCCCTTTGTCCCGTCTAACAACAGTCTGCATCCTCCCACCCTCCCCCGGCCCTGCCCCCTGGCTCTGTGTTTCCTCCCCCCGTTTCAGTCTGCGGGAAGCGGGGTTTCCCCTGGTTAATGGCCAGGGTCCCTCTCTAGGTGTTCGGCAGCAGATCCTCTAGAGGAACCGTGCTCCCCACCGGTCATGGAGATGGACTGGGCCTTTCTCCCTCGGAGCGGTGATAAAATGGTCCAGGGCACTCGCCCTTCCAGCGATTTGTTTGGTAATTCTAAGAGACTTGTGAAAAATGCATGAGGCCTGCGGTACAATAGATAAGCTGAAAGGCTTGGAAGAAAATCCACTTGTGGGTAGCGGGGTGATTGGAAAACCTCTTTCTTTACCCTCTCTGTCCTTGTCCCCAAAGAGATCGTATTTAGGAATAATTCTCCTGTTAATTCGGGGGCTTTCATCCCGGGTCAAAAGCTTGTTGGCGCCTGCTTGTCAGATATTTTCCCCTTTGGTTTCTTCTAGCTGTTTCGCTCATGGAGCTGGCTTAAATTCATGTCTTAATGACTCTGAGTTCTCTCTTGAAAGGTCACTGCCCTCCTGCATACAAGTGGAATCAGACCCGGCTTTGTGTTACTGGGCGACCAGGCGGCGCTCTGTCACGAACGGATGGGTGGCGGCGACCGGGGTGTTTTGGGGGCGAAGGAGGAGCATGTCCGTGTTTCACGAGACTCAGCTGTTGGGGAGAGTCAGGTCGAGCCAGCCCATCAGACATGTGTCTCTGGTCTACCTCCTTTTTGAAGGGGGCATTTCCCCAGAGGCTGTCCATCCCGGTCTGGAGCAGCCCCCACGTGCGGCCATGAGGTTGGTCTCTGCAAATGCTGGTCCATGGATGAGGAAAGCAAGGTGCAGAGAAGCCCAGGGGGTTGCCCAAGGCGACACCTTGATGGGGAGCCTGCAAAGGAGAGGTGCTGACCCTCGGGGGAGGCCGAGGCAGGAGATCGGGCTGGGGGGATCTGGGCTGCTGCTTGACCTGAGCGCGGCTCTGGATAAACCTCCCGTAAGGACGCCTCTCAGCTCGTCCCCATGTCCCCTGTGGGTGGCAAACATGGCTCCTCCATATCAGCTGCCCATTCATTCTCCCAGGGCAGCCTCCAGTCCCTGAGCCCACTCGCTGACAGCCCTGTCTCGGGAGGAGGGAGAGGGAGGAGGGAGGAGGTTTAGGTCCAAAGAATGTGTGTCGGGGGAGAATCTCTGAGGGGTGAGAGCCCGCAGCCCCCTCGGAGCTCATGGGAGTGAGAACAAGAGCCCCCCCCCCCCCAAAGTGTGTGCTGACCAGCCTTAGGGGTGGAGAACTTTTTTTAAACGTTCAGAGAAAGACACAAATGTGCCCAGAACCAGATACTCTGGCATAAAATTCAAGGGAAGCAGGTTTCGGAGAAGTAGATACAATCTCTGGCTTTTGTGTTAAGAGCTCTTAAAAATGATTAGTAGGAACCAAAATAGGCTCGCTGAAAAAAAGAAAAATTCCAAGTGGAGCTTTCTTTTTGTTGATAAGATTTACTAGAAAAGAGGCATTATGGCTTTTTTCTCCCTGGCCTTTGCTGACCTCGCAGAAGATCGGGTGGGTGGGCGGGAGGGTGGCGCGGAGGGTGTGTTCAGTCCCTGGGGCCGAGGCAGCAAAGCACCAGGAGGGGTGACTTAACAACAACAGAAATTTATTCTCTCACAGTTAAGTCATGAGGCTGGAGTCCAAAGTCTAGGTGCCGTAGGGCTGGTGTCTCCCCAGGACCCTTGCGCTGTAGCTGCTTCCCTGCCGTCGCTGTCTGTCCTCTCAGGACCTCCTCGACCCTTGAAGACACCAGCTAATGGATTGGGGTCCATCCTAACCCCGGGGACCTCATTTTGACATGAGCCCATCTGTAAAGACTGTTGCCAGGAATATAGGGGAACCAAGTAAGGGATCGGGGGGGGGGGAAATATAATAATAAAAAACAAGGAAATTAACAGGCAACTATAAATCAGAGACACTTTGCGGGGGTGGAACAGGAGAAGTTCAAAACGGGCTGGAAGAGCACAAGGGACTATAGTGATGGTGCAGGGATGACTTGGCGGTGAAAATTCTAGGGGGATTACACCTGAGAGGAGAAAGCACACACTGTACAAAAATGAGCAATGATGTAAATATATATAAATAAATTATATTGAGGAAAAAAAAGACTCTTGTCAGGTTCCCTCTGGGGATGGAGTGTTCCAGGCCCTCCCGCTGGTCCCAACTCAGCTGGAATTGCTGGCCTGGTTTGGTCAGCAGAAAGATTCTTAGAATCTTTCAACTCTAACATATCACTCTATTATATTCTTTCTAATTTTTTGCATAATATTGCTTTAATAATAACAAAAGAAGTTATATAAAATATGGAAGTCCTGATTCTGCTACTGTGAAATTCTCAATTTTTACAGTTAGTGTGATGACCCCTGCAGTCTTGCATCCCCCCTCGGTTGCTTTACCTGCAGAGCCGCCTGGGCCTGGGTCGAGGGCCGTAAATAGAGACACCAGGGCCCAGCAGTGAGCGATAACAAGGGCTCCTCAGCCCTGCTCAGTTGCTGCCTCCCTGCCTGCTGCTCTGCCTGTGTCCGGTCCCCTGATTCAGCATTATAGGCCTCTGAGAGATACCAAAGGCTCCAGAATTCTCTTTTTGTCTGTGTGAATCAACAGTGAACCCACCCGCCTGGGTGGTGGCACAACAGCCCCTTTCCTCTTTCCTAGAAACACTTCGCTGTCCTCTGGGAGCTTGTGGCAGGAGGCAGGTTCTTGTTCCCTGAGTGTGTTAGTGTCGTTTACCCCAGAAGAGTGTAACTTCCTCAAAGACTGATTGTGTCACAGTTGCTCTTGCATTTTCCGTGTGCTCACCGTGGGTATTGAACGAGCTCGTGCTGCAGAGAGCACTCAGGGCCGGGCTGCCATGGGGTGGGGCCTCCCCTCGGGCCTCTGACGAGCCCTCGTCAGCACAGGGTGCTGGGCCACACGCCTCCAGCTCACCTGACACTTGGGACAGACTGGTTTCAGGTGAGGCTTCCCCAGGTGAGGCTTCCCCAGGTGAGGCTTCCCCAGGTGAGGGTTTGGTGCTCAAATGAGCTGTCCAGAGGCAGTTGCCCTCCTTTGCTTGGTTGGACTCCATTTTGTGTTTGGCTCTGTCAGGCGCCTCCTTCCGATCCCAGGCAGCTGCTCCCAGCGGCCCAGCCTCTGCCTCCCTTCTCCTCGGCGTGGGAGGTGGTGTGTTCCGCTCACATTCCCAGCAGGTGTCCCGAGGCTGCCCGGCCTTGGACCAGCGTGGGGCACCTGTCCTCTCCTGAGGACAGGCCGAGTGGTGAGGCCCACGGAGAAGTGGGGGCTGAGGGAGAAGTGGTGGACTCAGGGAGGGCCCGGGGTAACTCCGGCCTGTCTCCCTCGTCTCCCCCCTAACCGGAAGGCGTGTGTTTTCTCTTCAGGAATACATTGACGCCCACCCCGAGACTATCGTCCTGGACCCCCTTCCTGCCATCAGGACCCTGCTCGACCGCTCCAAGTCCTACGAGCTCATCCGGAAGATCGAGGCCTACATGAAAGGTGGGCCCGCGTGGGGTTCGGCATCTGGGGCGGCAAGGGAGGGGCTCACAGCTGGGACAGGAGGAGGGGTCTGGTCTTCCTGAGCCCCCAACGCAGGGAGCACTTGATGTCCCTGGGAAAGGGAAGGGCCTCTCCTCTTGCTGCGGTCAGCAGGGCTGCGGAATAGAAGCGCAGGCTGCTTTAGGGACAGTTTGTTTTGTTGTCTCGGGCCCGTGGAGAGGTGGTGGAGTGTTCCCCTAACACGAGGCTGTGTGTGTGTGAAGAGCTGAGGGCCAGGCGGGCGAGTGGAGTTACGTAACCGGGCAGAGAGACAAACAGAGAAATAAAGGCCTGCATCAGCTGCGCGGAGATATGTGCCGCGGCCGGCCTCTCGGGGTGCCTGTTGTTTTTGCAGATGGGAGCCTCCCTCTTGGCTGCGGGCGCCTCTGCTGCCAGCTGCAGCCTCTTGTCCCTGAGGACTCATCCTCCCCACCTCCCTGGGCAGGGCAGCTCCGAAGGCCTTTGCAGGGTGTTTGATTATGTGAGAAGGGCTTGAAGGGAAGATTCGTGTTGACAGTAAGGGCTTCCTTCTCTCGCCTGGGCCAGGCGTGCCCTGCTGAGGGCTCTTGTTTAATCTCAAGGACAAGGGCTCTGCCGGGACCCGGCTCCTTGAGGTCATCTTAGGAGCTGGGCAGGAGAAGAGGCTCCTGCTCCCGCCACCAGACCATGAGTGTGGCCTTAAAGGGGTGGCCTTGGGTCTTGACCTGGATGGTGACTCGGCCCCTCATGTTGTTTGTGTGCTGATGGCACCGGGGTGGCTTGGTTGCGTGGTTTGGGCCCTGGGACCAGCGGCGGCCTGTCTGCAGGGCACAAGCGCGGGGTGACAAGAGCGGCATCGACTGGGTATTGCCGTTACACCTTCTCTTTACCCTCTCCCCGGCAACTCACAAAAGAGGGCACAGTTAGTGTGGGGTGCTTATGCAGCACCTGCAGAGCATGGGGAACTTGGGGAGCCTCGTGCCATCAGGGACTTCGTTGGTGGGCGGTCTGGGAAGTGAGTTAGTGGGTAAGGAGAGGAGGGTCCATCTGAGACAGATCAGCATCTGACCTGGAGGCAGGTTCTGATGGCCATTACCTGGCTCCTGTTGTAGAGTGACCCCCCACCCAGCCACAAGTGTGTGGGGGGGGCCCAGAGGCCAGCCCCGAGTGGGAGAGTCAGACAGACCCCACTCTTGGGTCTGAGAAACCTCAAACCCAGGTGTCATCGGGTAGGAGCCTTCTGCTGGGGATGGGGATGGGGGTGAGGTAGTGGTGGTAGTGGGGTGTCCCCTCCAGATCCAGCAATAACGTGCTGACTGAACCCTAATGGTGGGCTTGGTCCTGGGCCAGCAGAGTTGTGTATGTGGCCCTGACCGCTGCACCCTGGGTTTTGCTTATCTGCGCTGGAGCTGGGTTGTATTCTTCCAGAGGGCAGTCAGAGACGGGGACTTCCTGGAGCCTTTTCCTGCCCACCCTGGGGCTGTTGGTGCTGCGGAAGCTGCAGGGGCTGGGCCTCTGCTGGCTCCCACCTCCCGCCTCCCTTTAGGATGTTGAGAACTTTCCCTGGGGAGTGCACCCCAGTGCTCCCCTCCCCACGCCTGCTATTCCTGGAAGCAGCCCTTTAGGCATAGTATAAATGGCCATAATTACCCTTTCAGTTCTTCAGACAGTTGTAGCAGTCCCAGTGACACTGCTTCTGTAGTGGGGGGTGGGGGGCAGGGCTTGGTGAAACTTCTTTGTCTCCATCCCCCTGGCAGGGTGATTCCCTGTCATTAGGCACCCTGGGTGGCTGCAGAGAAGCCAGGCCCGAGGGGAGGCTGCTGATGGGAGAGACCAAGACCCAGCCCTGTAATGGGGTGGGCCATGGGCACAAGGAGGGCCTCCAGGAATAACAGGGGGTACACTTGGAGTTGGGGGGGTTCACGTGCTCTCATGTGCTCAGGTACTCAGTTTCCATGCAAGCATCAGCTGGGGGGCTCAGGGGAGGCCTGCTGCCTGGAGCCCCAAGCTGCCTGTCTGAATCCCTGGGCAGCCTTGGTGTTCCACATCCTCAGTTGACATCCTCAGAGCTCATTGTCTTCAAATTCAGAGCCAGCGGGAGGAACCCCTCAGATTTGGTTAGTTCAAAACTTATCGCAACAACAGAGATCTAAAATAGCAGCGGCCTAGGCGAGCTAGAGCTTCGTTTCCGTCTCCTCTGAAATCCAGAGCAAGGCCACGTGGTGCTGGTGCGCAGGGACCCAAGCTCTTCAGGATCCTCGTTTTTCTGTTTTGCCCCCACACCTGTGGCCCTCCTGGTCCAAGGTGGTGGCCGGAGCTCCAGCCATCACATCCAAGCTCTAAACATTGGAAGGAAGCAGCCCTAGTGTCTTTAAGGGAAGATTCTGGAAGCTACCATGTAATGATCTGTTCTCAAGGAGCCAGGACTTAGTCACCTCCCGGGCTGCAAGGGAGTCAGAACGTGGTCTCTCTTCTGGGCAGCATGTGCCCTGCTAACTTTTGGGGAGGTTTATCACCATGGCAGGAGGGAGAGAATGAGTTTTGGGGGACAACTGGTTGTTTGACCCCACACCTTCTGAGAAATGTATTTCTGTCTGGGAAATCTGTGGGTGAAAGACACTTGGACCGACTGTTCCCTTTAGGCCGGCCAGAGGTGTGGCCCCAGCTGTGCACTAAGCAGCGAGTCCCTTCCACAAGCAACTCACAACAGCGTGCGGTTGGTAGGCTTGCTGAGCAGCCCCCCACAGCGCCGGTGACTACGGGTGGGGTGGCACCCACACCCTAAGGCAGAGGTGCAGCGGGCCGTGAACTTGGGCCCAAGCCAAGCGTGGTGCTCAGAAGCCTCCCAGAGGAGAAGCACGGCCTGGCGCAGGCCGAGGGGCGAGGGTGGTGGCCTGTGGAGTGTCCTCTGCTGCCCCCACACGTTTGCTGGCCCTTTCTCTCCCCGGCACCCCCTTGGCTGTGCGTTGCTGGGAGTTTGAGATGGAACCCCAAGACCCAGGCCGGCTGCGCCACCCCAGGCCCAGTGAGTCTCCTGAGCTGGCGGAGCCAGTGTGAGGGAGCTGGGCTGTGCCTGGTGGCATGGCCCTGGGGCAGTCCTGTGAAGGGCCTGGGCCGCGGGGGAAGGGGCTCGAGAGGCCCTTCAGAGGCGATGACACTGCAGGGGAGGGGCCTCCTGGAACCCCACACGCAGGAGCTCTAGAGGGGACAGATGGCCGTCCCGAGGCCACCTCCTGGGGGATGGGGCCTTCCTGCCTGTGGTTTTATGGGAATTTGATCTGCACTCGTCTTGGACGCAGTTTGAAAACTGGCCTGAAATGGAGTCTTCTAGACACCACTGTCCTCAGAGGCTTTCCTCAGAGCTCCCCACAGAACATCTGCCCACCTGGGCTGGGGTGGGCCCAGTTCGGGTCAGAGGCTGCGGAGGGCTGCTGAGGGCTGTGGTGGGCGAGGGCGCTCCCTCTGCCCCGCTCCCTGGGGCCGCTCAGCTCACTCTCCCCCCGGGTCCACTGTCAGGACCCGGGACCGGCCGGGCGCTGCCTGAAGCTTTACTTGTGCGTGTTGGCTGATTCAGTCCTCACGATGACCCAGGAGAGGGCACTGCCCTTACCTCCACGTAGCAGCAGGGACACGGGAGGGCACAGCCTAAGTCGGCCAAGGCCACACCACACAGCTCCCGGGAGCAGAACTGGGATTTGAACCCACGCTGTCGGGCCTGCTCTTAGCCAGTAGCTGCGGAAGCCTGCTCCAGCCCCCGTGTGTGTTGCCTCCTCCACCCCCATGTCCTGAGCCTGACAGAGGGGCTCATGCTGGGCAGATGGTGGGGGGTGTCTGCTTTGTGGGGGGAGTGATCCCAGAGCCCCTGGTGCTGTGGGCACAACCCTGGCGCCCTCTGGTGTCCACTCAGACGGCAGCTGTGCCTCAGACGGTGGCGAGTCGGCCCTGGGCAGTGACTGAGTCAGAGCTGTGCCCTCCGTTCTGAGGGCCGCAGCGCTGCAGTGGAAAGGCAGGGCCTTTGGTGCTGACCGACCCAGTGACGGGGCTAATCCGTCTCGGCCCCCTGCGGCCCCCAGTCCCTGGGCCCTCTGAGTCATCTGCTCGTCCATGACGGGTTGCCATCACCCCCACCGGGGAGATGTGGTCCCATTCGCCCCAAGTTGGTGTTCAGCATCAGACCACTCCCTCCCCTTGGTCCCATCAGGCTCCTGGGCTTTAGTTGCGGGGGCCAGTGGCAGAAGTCGGTGGTGGGAAGCAGCGCCGGAGTCCAGGAGGTTAGTGGGACCCAAGCAAAGGAGTTTTGAGCTCTTGATGCCCCCGCCCCACCCAATAACCCCAGGAGGTTGTAGGACTGACCCAGGGCCACTCAGTGCTTCCAGTGGCCTGTCCTGTGCCCTTTCAAGGCCCGTGCCCCTGCTGTGCCCTCAGAGGCAGAGCCAGTGAGTCTGGGGTTGCCTGGACTCTCAGCCTCTCCCCACATCGAGCTGTGTGCATTTAGGCAAGTTTTTGGACTGCCCCGAGCCTCGGTTTTCCCATCTGTGACCTGGGGCATCGTGATAGCGGCCCCTTCCACCCAGGGATGTTCAAGGGTTAAATATGGTTGTGCATTTAGGGGAAGATGCTCAGTACACGCCACCCTCCTTGGTGACACTGTCTTGTGGGTCAGACCAGGACACTGTGGGTCCTGGGTCCCTGACTTCTGTTTAGCACCCTTGACTCTGACCTCTGGGACCCCCAGGAGTCGCCCTCCCCCCAGGATATGCCCCTCTGTCAGCCTTCCCGGCGCCAGTCCCATGTTTGTAAATGACAGTTTGGGTGTATTTCCCCAAGCAAGGAGCGTTCAGGGTGAGCCATCGTGTGGCCTGTGCAGGGTCTTGTCATCTCTTTGTTGGCTGTCGCGGTATGTCCGCGTTACAGGTTTATTGTAAAGTGCTGGGAGGTTTCACTTACTTTTAAAGTTATTTTAGACTCAGTGGGGAAAAAAG